ACCTCGGTGTCGGCCTTCAGCGATGAGGGGAGTAGTGGGATGTTGGCGTCGGCGCCGACCAAGGGCATCGCCGGTGGCCGATGTGACGAGGGGCAGGTCGACGTGGGATTGAAGTCGACGTCGACAGTGGAGGAGCAGGTCGAGGAGCAGCAGCCGACAGGGGAGCAAGCAGCAGTGAAGCCGACCACGGAGCAGTCGGCAACCAGGCAGTCGGCAGGGAAGCTGACCACAGGGGAGCGGTCGACCAGGAAGTCGACTGAGGTGCAGCAGGACGACGAGGGCAGTGAAGACGTTGACGCCGGGGAGTCCACCAAGAGTGACGTGGTGGAGGTTTGGCAGGAACCCCGGAAGTCGGACAGAGTTCGGATGCCGCCGGACTTCTTCGTCCCCGCTGCCTTCACCACAATGTATGACGTGGACGATGACGACGACCTGCTGTACGACGACGCCGAGGAGGATGAGGAGTTTCCGGAGCTCGACCCGTACATGCTGGCCGACCCCGAGCACCATTGGGACATCTCGACCATGACGGTGAAGGAGGCGTTGGCGAGCTGGAAGGGCCCGGCGGTGAAGGCCGCCATGGAGGAGGAGATCTGCAGCCTCATCAACATGGGCACTTGAGAGCTGGTCGAACGCCTACCGGGAGTGAACGCATGAAGAACCGGTGGGTGTTGACGATGAAGTACCACGTCGACGACACCGTCGAGCGCGAGAAGGCGAGGCTGGTCGTGAAGGGCTTCACTCAGGTGTATGGCGCCGACTACGACGAGACGTTCGCGCCGGTGAGCAGCTACGTCATGCTGAGGATCTTCCTCAGTATCGTCGCCGTCCTCAACCTCAACCTGATGCAGCTTGACGAGAAGAACGCCTTCCTACAGAGCAAGCTCGATCGGGTGCTGTACATGTCCCAGCCGGATTACTTCAACGACTGAGAAGTATGGGCTGCAGGATGCAGGAAAGCCAGCCACCCCGCTGTCTTCGGGGTTCACTGTGGAGCCCTGTGCTGATGAGGAGGTGGTGGGGGAGAGTGACAGGAAGTTGTTTCACTCCATGGTGGGGGCACTCAACTATGCGGCTAACCACACGCGGCCTGACATTGCCTTTGCTACGTCCAGGCTTGCGAGTGTGGTTTCATGCCCAAGTCATGAGCAGCTGGAAGCGGCCAAGAGGTTGGTCCGCTATGTGAGCGCTACAGCATCAGTGGGCTTGGAGTACAGTGCTGTGCGATAGAGGCTACAGAGGGGTGCAGCTGATTTGAGCAAGGGGGAGAAATGCTTGACTTGCTACACCGACGCTAGCTTCAACTCAGTGAAGATGGATGGCACCAGCATTGGAGGCTATGTGTGCCTCTTTGGAGGTGGTGCAGTGAGCTGGCGCAGCAAGAAGCAGAACGAGGTGGGGTTGTCCTCGTGTGAGACAGAGTACATGACCCTGCATCATGGGGCAAAGGAGGTGGTGTGGCTAAGGCGTTTGTTGGAGGAAATCGGAGTGTGTCAGAGGGAGCCGACTGTGATTTTCTGTGACAATGAGTCAGCAGTGAAGCTTGCAAAGAATGCCTATCTTCATGGCTTGATAAAGCACATCAGGCCAAAGTGGCATTGGACAAGGAGGCTCCTGGACAAGGAGGTGCGGCTGGAGATAGTGAAGACCCAGCAGCAGGCGGCTGATTTTCTCACCAAGCGCCTGGCAGAACCTGAGCATTGGAAGGGCATGAAGCTTGCGGGAATGAGTGTGCATTGAGTGTGCATGCTTGAGTTATGGCATGTGAGATGATGGTTGGCAGCCAGAGGGGGAGTTTGTTGTGTGATGCAACCATATGCATTCACGTCTGTTTGCCTCCCATCATGTGTTTGTGCGTTGCATGCGTGGTGTGAGCGTGTGCAAGAAATTTGTGTCTTGTGTGGTTTGGATTTTCTCTGTGTGTGTGTATGTGTGTATGTTATTTGGCTTGAGCAGATATCTGAAGTGATTCCTCTACTCAAGAGCTTTCCGACGAACCAAGAATCGTCGCGATCGGAGCACAACCAAGAAAGTTACGAACATTGGAGTTCGTATGCTTATATATTTTGGTTGCAGCTACTTTGGGAAGTTGTGGCACTGACTCAATATGGGGTACAGACTTGTGGGGGTTGGGAAATTCGAACCCATCACTGTAGATGTTGCAAAGAGGTTGAGTGAAACCAAACCAGGTTAGTAAGTGTGATCAAGTTGTGGTGAGGTGGATGGCATGGGTTGGAAAGTGACAAAGGTCAAAGTTTGTTGCCTATGTGGAAGGGAATTGTGTGGCATGGGGTTTCCTTGGTTGGGGACTCTCTCTTGGGACCTTCCCTCTCGTCCTCCTCTTCCCCTCCTACCAGGTATAGTGCTACTCTAATGTTCTTTTGTGGGACTTGTGAGTTAATTGTGATTGAGTTAAATTTCTATGGCAGCATACCCCCTAGTGCGCCGAAAAGCATTACTCAAGATATGCTTCATAGTTTGATACGATTCAAATTGGGAAATGTACCCACGGTCTAGGGCTACAACAGATTTGAATTTTGTGGGATTCTAACGGTGCACCTTTCGTTGACATCGTTTCTTGTGAAGTCGACGTTTCTGTCCAGAAATTGAGACCAACGATTTTGAGAAATTTGGGCACCTAATCTTCATGGACTCCGTCCTTAGTCTCTAACACGTCCGCGATAGGTCGGCGGGGAAGCTGTGGCTGCACCAGCAGGGCTACGCCGACAAGCTGCGTAGGCGCTTCATTGACGAGGAGCAGACCGGGCGTACCCCGAAGATGCCGGTCTCGGTCGACGCCTACGCCGAGCTCACCCTCGACGACGATGAGGCACAAGAGCGACAGGAGGAGGAGTACCGGCAGAAGGTCGGCTTGCTGCAGTTCGCGGCGACGACGATGAGGCCGGACATCGCCTTTGCCTGCAGCAAGCTGGGGAGTGGCCTCACAGTGAGGAGCGACCAGCACTGGCGCGAGGTCGACCGCTGCCTCGCTTACCTCGCCAACACGCGTGACACCGCTTTGGAGTTCGGCGGTGGACCTGAGTCGCTGGAGCTGGCTGGCTACGTGGACGCCAACGACGCCAGTGACAAGCAAAATAGAACGAGCACGGGCGGCTACGTGTTTGTCTACGGAGGGGCTGCTGTCTCCTGGTCGAGCCAGCGCATGAAGTGCACGACGTTGTCGTCGACCGAGTCGGAGTATGTGGCGGCCACGGAAGCCGGGAAGGAGGGACGCCGACTTCGCTTCCTCCTCGCCGAGTTCCGGCAGCTGGATGTCGGGAAGCCGACCGTCCTCCGGGTGGACAACAAGTCGGCCATCACGGTCGCCGAGGGCATGGGGTTGATGGGCAACCTCAAGCACATGGAGTGGCGTCAGGCCTGGCTGTAGCACATGGTGAAGTGTGGGAAGTTTTCACTGAAGTACATCCCGACCGCTGACCAGCCGGCCGACTTTCTGACGAAGGCGCTGCACTATCCGGCCTTCAACCAGTGCTCCGTTGCCATTGGCCAGGTGCGCTTGGTCGACGTGGGCGAAGAGGACAACGACGTGCAGGAGTAGGTGCCATGCCCTCCTTCATGGCTGGTGCGGTGACTGGCGTGCTGTGTGTTGGGTGCACGCCGACGAGCTATTTTCTGAGCAGTGATGCCGTGTGGGCTGGGGGCCCAAGCGTGAACGCGACAGGGGAGTGTCAACGGGAGTTGTTGTTGGCCCTGTCCTTGCTTGGGCGGAGCCGACTTCGTGGTTGGATGTACGGGAGGTACAGCCGACTTGCAGCAGTGGGCGACGCTGACCTGGGCGAGCTGGTCGACGGGGTTGGTCGACTTGCACGGGGCCACTGCAATGCCGCCAACTTGGGAAGCCGACAGCCGACTTCAATTGGTGGTCGGCGATGTGGCACGTTGACCTGGAAGTCGGCACCGACTTGCAAGGTCACCGACTTGCAAGGTCGCCGACTTGCAAGATCGCTGATTTGGGAGGTCGCAGACTTCAAGAGGTCGGTCTGGAAGTCGGCGCCGACGTAGAAGGGGCGTCGACTTGGTGACGCCGACTTTGGGTAGCCAACTTGGGTGGTCGATTGAAAACTGCGCTAGTCAACGTGGAGCTGGTCGACCAGGAGTGACGTCGACCTGGAGCTGGTCGACCAGAGGTGTAGTCGACCTGGTGAGGTCGACTTGGGGTGGTCGTCGACTTGGGAGGTCGACGAACACATACAGAAGCAGCTGGTCGACATGGTTGCCCGGTCGACCGGGCGAAGTTGGCGAGTCCGACCTCGGTGATGGTATCCCGAGGTCGACGTGGCGGATCAGGTGGAGCCGTCAGCACGAGGATGACTTGGTGCGTGCGCTCTTCAGGTGACGAGGCTTAGCCCGCCAATTATCTACGAGCACCTGCGAAGTAGGTGCGCTGCTGCTCTGCGGGAGCAACGCTGGCACGCCGTCAACCTGCAACGTTGGCACGCCGCCGACTTTGCACTGCTGGAGCGCGGTCGACCAAGTCGTGCTGGAACGCTGTCGACCATGCTGCGTTGGCAGGCGACCGACTTGAATGCTAGCTCTGATGCAGTCTTGTCTTGCCAACCTGATTGTACCATTGTTGTCACCTTTCTCTAGTGAAACTCTTGCCAAATTGCCCCATGAACTAGCAAGCAGTGTGTGCACTAGGAAATGACTAAGGACCAACAAACGCAGAGATCACACGAGCACCCGTGCCTAGCCCGTAGTCTAGCTCCCGTTGTAGTAGTTATCTCCGCAGAACCCGCCCCCAATGTACATCACTCTTTACTTCCTTACGACTCGCCTCCCAGACTCTCTTCGCGCCGTTTGAGACCACTTTCTCTCCATAAACCCCAATGAGCTCACCCTTGCCTCGTTTGAAACCCGTCTCCTAGAGGCTGAGACCAATGCCCACGCTATCGCTGTCTCCCGTGGCACTCCCCTCCCCTCTTTCTTTAAGGGGTGTTCTCCATCCCTTCTTATGCCCTCTGTTGCTTCTGCTGCTGATGTTCACTTCCTTCGCACTGAGGAGGAGGTCGGTGCTGCGAGTGCTCCTGGTGGGAGGCGCCGTGGCGGCAAGGGTGGGCGTGGTAAGGGTGGGGGCGGTGGGAGTGCTGGGGGTGGCGGTGGTGGGGTTGGTGGCGAGGGTAGTGGCAGTGGTGGTGGTGGGGGTGGAGGAGGTGACGGCGGTGGTGGAGGTGGCGGGGGTGGTGGAGGTAGTGGGGTTGGTGGGGGTGGTGGAAGGGGTGGGGGTGGCAGTTGGGGTGGAGGCTCAGGTTCGGCTAACCGTACAGCTACGTCTGGTTGTGCAGCGGGTGGAAGTGTAGGTTCTGGGGGTGGACAGCAGCAGCGCTCGCTTTGGCAAGGTTGCTGGTCGCTTTGGCAAGGTTCTAGGGTTGCATAGCGTGGAAGCTCTGGTGGCCCCTGCCAATACCGGCGCCGCACTGGTCGTCCAGGAGAGGTGTGTGGCCGATCGGGACACGTCGAGGCTCGCTGCTTCTTCCGCCTCGACGACGCGTTTCACGAGGAGTTTGGTGAACAGCTGAAGACTCCTGACTGGCTAGCACTGCTCAAGAAAAACATAGATGTCTTTGCTCTTGATTTTGACCAGACCTTGTATGGCATATATGATATGTATGTTGTTTCTGCTAGTGTCGAGGGTGACTATTACTCGTGTGTGGCAAGGCTGCTGGTGTGGAGACTACTAGTGTACATGCTTATGAGACGGGTAGCACAGCTGCAGTTGTTGCGAAGGCTTTGCACACCTTTACGTTGGACTCCGCACGTCTCGCTGATTCTTTGACGACTACACTGCGATCACACCTCTCGCAACACCTGTCCCTATCACTTTGGCCGACCCCTCAACTAGCCCGGTCATTGCACGCGGCACCACTGTTCTCCCGTGTCTAGCAGCCCCCTCTAGCCCCCTCACAGATTTCCACCCCCCTCGCTATGAACTTGGTGAGTCAGGCTGTCCACCAGGATCATTTGGTCACTACCACTACTCTTGGGGGCGAGCTTGTGGCGATCGGTACGGACTCGGTGACTAGCGACCACCTTGCCACGTTCATCCGGAGGTCAGGGCCGGGATTGTACAGACTGCACTAAGTCCACACAGCTAGTTGCATTTAGCCAGTAACCTGCGTCTTGCTCGTGCTAGTTACTCACGCACCCATCCCTCCTCTGGCACCACAGTCTTGATCACCCCTCCCTCCAGCGTTTGCATCGCATGCACTCGCGTTTCCTTGTCTCAGGCCTTCCGAGGTCCCTTCCTGCACTCTCACCGTTGTTTGCGTCGCCGTGTTCTCCCTGCGTCGAGGGGCGACAGCGCATCGCTCCTCACTCCTCCTCCTTCCCTCCAACCACTGCTCCTCTGCAGACCTTGCACATGGATGAAGGCCCCGTCCCCAATCCTGGGCCGGGCCGGGAACGCTATTTCCTGCTTGTCGTCGACGACTACACGCGCTACGCCATGATGTTTCCCTTGCAGCACAAGGGAGGCGTCCGTCTTTTATTAATCCCTTGGATCCACATTGTTTGCTGCTAGTTGAATGCACGATTCCGTCAGGACCTCCTGGTGCTCCGTGTGCACTCTGACCGTCGAGGTGATTTTTCCTCCGGTCTGCTTGAGAACTTTTGTCGTGCGGAGGTCATCAGCTAGTCGTTTGCGTTTGTGGTTTCGCCCCAGCATAATGGGATCGCCGAGCACCGCATTGGCTTGATCATGGAGGTTGCTCGCACCTCCATGATCCATGCGGCTGCTGCCCATTTCTGTGGTCATTTCGGTCTGATGCACCACGCATCAGCTCAACCTCTGGCCCGGTGTCTCCATTCCAGAAACAATGTGTTGGACGGGGGAGGTTGGCGATGCATAGGCGTTTTGGGTCTTGGGTTTGCTTGCCCTTGTCCGTGATACCACCGCGGGCAAGCTCTCTCCTCGCACTATTCGCTGCGTCTTGCTTGGCTTTCCCATCGGCGTCCCGCCTTGGCAGTTCTACCACCCAGCCACGCGTCGCGTCCTGTCCTTCTGCGACATCACCTGTGACAAGCCGGTTTGCTACTACCGTCGAGTCTTCTCTTGTCTCCCCGCCACCTCACTTCTTGGTTCCAGGTTACCCCCCAATAGACCCCAGCCCCCTCCCCCCCCCCCGGCGTCCTGCTTGCTTAGGTGTGTCTCAGGTATCACCTCCCCCCTGGGTTGTGCCTTTGGAGGTCTCCTCAGACTCCACCGACCCAGCTGAGCGGGGGTGACCTTACTACTGACAACACTGCGGCCTCTCGCCACTCCCCGCACTTGGAGACCCCTCTTGGTTTTTCTCCTTAGCCACCTTTGCCGCCTCTGCAGCCTGTTGTTGTGGACTCTGGTGCATCTGAAGGTGGTGACGCTAGAGGTGCAAGCTCTTGGGGTGCTGTGATTGGGGGTGCTGGCGCTGGGGGTACTGGTTCTAGAGGTGCTAGAGCTGGCGGTGCTGGAGGTGCTCTCACTGGAGGTACTGGGGGTTCTGGTGCTGGAGGTGCTGGAGCTGGAGGTACTGGAGCTGCGGGTGGACAACGCTAGCAATTGCGTCCGCAGGTGACTCTCTCGCCGCAGCAGCACGGGTGGTCCAGCGCGGTATTGAGCCTGGAGATGCTGGTTCTAGGGGTGCCGAACCTGGGGGTACTAACTCTGGGGGTGCTGACACTAGAGGTGCTGAGCCTGGGGGTGCTGATGCTAGAGCTGGAGGCGTTGGAGTCTCTAGAGCTAGAGGTACTAGAGTTGGAGGTTCTGATGCTGGAAGTACTGTTGCTGGAGGCGCTGGAGGTTCTGGTGCTGGAGGTGCTCAAGCTGGAGGTGCTGGAGCTGGCGGTGCCGGAGGTTCTGAAGCTAGAGGTACTAGAGCTGGAGGTGCTGGAGCTGGCAGTTCTGGAGGTTCTGGCGTTGGAGGTACTGGAGCTAGGGGTGCTGTGCAGCGGCAACCGTTCTTCTTGGACCAGCCGTAGTCGTCATTGCCACCACCCTCAGCACTTCGCCAGGTTCTCAGTCTTCGGTCTTCCACTGATGTTACTCCTCCTCTACTATGTCCACCTCTTGACCCGTCACAGCCACAGTTACAACCTAGCTCCCCACTGCCTGCTCCTTCTCCTTACACTGAGTCGACAAACTCCCTGACTGAGCGTTCAGAGCCTACGTCTCATCCTGCCACACTTGTTCGTACTCGTTGTGCTTCCCGTGTTCGTCCTCCACCTGTCCCCGGCACGCACACCATGACCCTTCATCCTTAATATATTGCACAATGTTCTTTCCTGCCATCTCCTCTAGCGTCCTCTCTTCCTGATGTCCTCTCCCTGAATTTGACCTTGCTCGTGCTACTAGTCCTACTATCACGCATGTTCTGGCCATACTTATCACTGACCCTAGCTAGTTACCTTTGCTGCTGCCTGTCGTCTAGACTACTTCGCGAGGCTTGTTTCTGAGTCTGACTGTCCTCCGTCCAACGAGGGTGAGCTTGCCTTTGGTAGTGATGTCCTTGAATACGGACAGTTTAAGCTGGAGTGCCTTGCGGCTGCTATAGCTCATCTCGCTGCCATGCTACTTGCCCCAGAGGGAGAACCGGATGCACTGAACATCCCGACCCCGCGGCTCTTACGCAAAGGCAAATTCAGGTCCGTACTCCTCTCAGTGGGAAATAGCCATGGACACAGAGATGGCATCCTGGAAGTCTACAGGTACCCTCGTTGACGCAGTTTCCCCTTCTGGGCGAACATAGTCGATAGCATGTGGATTTTCAGAGTGAAACGACCGCCGGGTTCTACGCCTGTCTTCAAGGCGCATTACGTTGCACGAGTCTTCAGTCAGATGCAGGGGGTCAATTTCTTCCATACCTTCTCCCCTACCCTAAAGATGACCACTGCTCAGGTGTTACTGCACCTTGCACCACAGCGTGACTATGAGTTTTCTCCACAGTTTTCTTGCAGGGCAGCCTTCACAAGGAGATATGGCTGCACCGTCCACCTGGCTTCACTGAGCCGTTTTTTTAGGGTACCTAGTGGAGCCTCTGGCGGCCAGTCTACGGTCTCCACCAGACGCTTTGCGAGTGGCACGACACACTGAGCACGACACTTGCAGCACTTGGGTTTGCTGCTTCGACTGCTGGCCCGTCGTTGTTTCTGTGCATACACCCTCCTCTACCACCGTTATACATCCTCGTGAACGTCAATGACTTTGTTCTTTGCTACTGCTGACACCGAGGCACTGGCCAGGGCCCAAAATTGGTTTTGGGCCACTCTTGCAAATCAGGGTTCCAGGCCCCCAGTACCCTGACCCTTGGGGTAATATTTTCCGTACACTGATGGCAGCAGCCTAAAATTTCAGATACACCATTTGTGTCAGGAGAAAAAAATTGTTACACTCTTTGTAGTGTAAATATTTTCATAACTTTGCATAAACATTGACTGCATTGTAGTGGCAACGGGGTATGTTTCAGTTTGTTAGATTTTCTGATAGGTGTCGAAAGATCGCGAGTTCGAATTCCGGGGACCATATAGATATTTTGCGGCTTCGCAACAAAATCCTCTCTACAGAGGATTCGGTATTAGTGTAATGTGCAGCGCACCCTGATATCCGCAGGGCAACCAAAGTCGTTATCAATGTACTCAAAACCTTCGCCTTTTTTCGCTAGGGAAAAAATTTCCATAGGCTGATTTGGCAACTGGGAAAAAAACGGCCTACCATCAGGGCAAAAAGGGTATTTTACTCTAATAAAATAGGCCCTGACACTGGCCCTTGTGAAGGCGAAGCTACAGAAGAGACACACCTACATTGACCTAGGTGAGCTGCAGAGCTATCTTGGCCCGCATATCACCCGGGACGGAGCAGCGCGCACCATCATTCTAACTCAGTCACACATGGTGCAATGTTTTTAGTGCTTCCGCTTTTGGTTCTCCTCGCCACAGCCCAATCCTCTTCCTACAAGCCACTCGCTCTCAGCTCCACCTTCGGACGAGTCCGTAGAGTCGAGTGGTCCTTATCTAGAGCTTGTGGGTTGCCTCATGTATCTGATGACTTGCACTCAAACTGACCTCGCGTAACCTCTTAGCATCCTGTCGCGCTTGGTTGGGCCCGGGAAGCACCGCCCTGAACACCTCTGGGCTGCACAAAGGGTACTCCGTTACTTGTGCAGTACATCAAGCATGGGGCTTGTACTTGGAGGAAAGGGTCGAGTTGTGCTCACTTGGCACTCAGACGCTTCCTGGGCCGACCGACCACGAGACCCAGTGGTCGTTCCAGAGGTACACTTTCATTATCTTTGCTGGTTCAATCTCATGGAGGTTCAGTCGCTCACCTTCTGTTTTATATATGTATATATAAATAATTGAAAAAAAACACCGCATTAAAAACATATACAACAAAAAACGGTCGTAGCCGTGCTTGGGGAACGGAAGACATGCTTCTGCTCTAGCTGAAGTTCAAGAGGGCCTAGGTACCGTGTATCGTGCCCTCGCAGCTATCTAAGGGAATTTATATACCAAATGTCAAAATATTTCGGCTTGACCGCCACAAAATTAAACTGTTCCATTCTCACACTTGAGCGCTAGCAGAAACAGCGCGATATGTTGAAATGAACGAACAAGAATGATTGAACTAACAGTGAAATCAGTACAAGTACCTAACCCTAGAATTGTGTACCCCCTATAGGCTAACCCAGTGTAGCCTAAACAAGCACAACATATACAATGTTTGACACACCCCCATAGGCGAAGTGGGGGAGAACGAGGGGTCACAAGACCAGTCAAGTAAAGCAAAGCAAAGCAAGCTCAGGGTGGATCACAAAGTCACCACACATTCCGAGCACAAGTTCAAGGCCACAAGGCCAGTTAACATGCAGGAGTACATATATATATAAGGCTACACAAGCAAGAGCAGGTATATATATATATATGTAACAGTACAAGCAAGGTCAAGAGGTGAGCAAGTGAGGCAAGACAGGTACAAGACCCAGCTGGGTGCAGAAGCGCTGATAATCACAAGGCGCAAGTGCCTTGGTGAAGACATCAGCAGTGTTGGCCTCAGAGGCCACGTACGCAAGCCGCAACTGACCACGCTGCTGTAGCTCACGAGCAAGGAAGTAGCGGAGAGCAATGTGCTTTGTTCTGTGCTCCAGTCTCTGCTCTTGACACAAGGCCAGCATGGCCTTGTTGTCTACGTACAGGACTGGAGGAGAACGAGGCGGCTCTCCAAGGTCGGTCAGTAGGTAGGTGAGCCAGCGAAGCTCCTGTGCAGCCATGGCCCCTGCGTAGATCTCAGCCTCACAACAGGAGCCGAGAACAGAAGACAAGCGAGTAGCTTGCCACGAAACAGAGCCGGAACCAAGGCTGAAGGTGTAACCCTGTGACGACCGCTGCGTAGCCTGTTCGTCAGCCCAAGAAGCGTCTGCGTGACTAGTGAGGACCACTGGACTCCACCCTCCAAGCACTAGCCCCATGCCCGACGTACTGCACAAGTAGCGCACCACCCTCATCGCTGCAGCCATGTGCTCTGGTCGTTGTCTCCAAGGAGCAACATAGTGTGCGAGAATGCTAAGAGGGTATGCAAGGTCAGGTCGTGTGCAGGTCATCAGGTACATGAGGCAGCCAACAAGCTCTGGGTACGGACCACTCGACTCTAGGGACTCATCCCTAGAGCTGAGAGCGAGTGCGAGCTGAGAGCGAGTGGCGAGTAGGCAGAGGAGTGGCCGTAGGCAAGGAGTATGTGAAGCCGAAGCGCTGAAGGACCCGCTGCACCATGTGTGACTGGGTCAGGGTGATGGTGCAGCGTGCTCTGTCCCGGGTGATCTGCAAGCCAAGGTAGCTGCGCAGTTCACCCAGGTCTGTGCACGTGTGTCTCTTCTGCAGCTCGGACTTCACGTAGGCGAGTCTAGCAGTGTCAGCTGTGGCAAAGACCAAGTCGTCGACGTACACGAGGATGTAGAACGGCGGCAGAGAAGTGTCGATGCGTAGAAACAGCGACGGGTTGGCAGTAGAGGGAGCAAACCCAAGAGCCGCAAGTGTAGTCCTCAATGTGTCGTGCCACTCACACGGTGCCTGGCGGAGACCGTAGACTGGCCGTCGGATGCTCCACTGGGTGCCTGGAGGAAAAGACCTAGTGAAACCAGGTGGGCAACGCAGCCAGATCTCCTCGTGCAGGCTGCCCTGCAAGAAAGCAGTGCTGAAGTCAAGAGAGTGTAGCTCGTAGTCACGGTGAGTAGCTATGTGCAGCAGTACCCAAAGAGTGGTCATCTTCGGGGTGGGAGAGAAGGTCTGAAAGTAGTCAACTCCCTGCCGCTGACTGAAGCTACGAGCCACGTA